CTAGAAGAGACTTTAGAAATACCCACATCCACTCCTATTTTACAGGTAAGAAAACCAAAACCCAGAAAGTCTAAGCTACTTGTTCAAAGTTATACATTGCTGACTTTTTGAACCTAAGATGCTGGACGCATTTAGGTCCTTTCAACATCACTGTCATTTTATTCCTCTAAAACAACAATATTAACACAAAAGATATTAAATTTAGTGTAGGCAGATGTTTGTCTCTATAACACAACTCACCATTTGACATAGATATATATGTATATATATACACACACTTATACTTTTCTTTTTTCTATATTTCAACAACTGCAACTGTGCTGTTCAAATTAATAGCCCTTTACCACATGCAGCTATTTAAATTTAATTAAAATTAATTTAATTAAAAATTTAGTTCTTCACTCACACTAGTCCTATCTCAAGTGCTCAAAGTACTAAAACTACTGCATATGATAAATGCAGGTATAAAATATTTCCATCATCCCAGAAAGTTCTATTGGGCAGTGCTGCATTAGAATGTCAGTTCCACAAGAGAGATTTTCATTAGTTTGTTCATCAGTGTATCTCTCCCACATCTAGAATGGTACCTGGGACACAGTAAACCTCCACAAGTATCTGTTGAATGATTCAATATTTTAGAGAGTGATTTTGGATAGCCCTGTGAAGTTTCTATCCAAATACATGGCAATGTATTCTATGTATTTAGACTTACCCAAAAAGGGTATATCTATGATGAAATGACTATAAGATAATGAGGTATGTTTTGGCAAAAGAAGTGAACATTGTATCAAAAGCCTCCATAAAACTATAATTTAATTGTATCATAACACCTCCATAAAGCTGTAACTTAAATTGGGTAAGACTGAATAGGATTCACTATGCAAAATTTTCTTGGTTTGAGAAGGATAAGAATAAATTTGTTAATTTTCTTTCCCTACAAAGGTAGAACATAATTAGAAAAAGATACATATCCCAGGATAAACTAAAAATTCAAAGTTATAAGAAAAGAATATATTTTAATCTTGCCTTGTTGGATTTGAAATAATAATTTAAATATATTAGTGTAATTATCATTAAAAACAAAAAATAAGGAGCTCCCAATGATAGAAAGGGGTATTCTAAACTGGCCAAAGAGGCTATTTTATGCTTTTAATCATTAATCACTAACATATTGAACAGGTACAACATTTTATCGTCTCAATAAATTTAATTCTATAACATGATTTTTAATATGTACAAAATATTTCATCATTTCAGTATACCATAATTTATTTAACCACTCATCTATTATCGGACAAATATCTGAAGATTTCAGTAGAATGGTCAGATGTAGTGTGTTCTTTTCTTAAAACACCAAATTTAACTTTAGAGTACAAAATGGACAACAGAATTAACAATGTTTTTAATTCCATATATCTGTTGACAGTGTTTCAGGAATCTTAAGAAACAGAGGATAAAGTTTCTAAATCCTATAGGATCAATAGATCAATAGTTAAATTATTTTTGGTGTCACTCATATGATTAACATTATCTGTATTTCTGGCTGTCTTGAATTCCTCAAGATACTGTTGAATGAGTACTGTGAATTTTTCTGATTGGATATTTTA